TTGTTTAACTAAATATTTTATAATAACAAATAATATGTTAATAATTGCTTTATTTGGAATTGCATTATCTCAAAATATTACCTGGTCAAATTATTCTTTCTCAACTCCATAATTCATTAATTTAATAGCCTAATAAACAAATTTTGCTAGAAGCTTTGAGGAGTTTGGACAAATCTTGTATTAAATCATTAAGCATTAGTAGGAATTTTTCAATTCAATATGATTCTTTGTAAATTGAGGACCTTTGCAGTTTTTAATATCAATAATTAATATTTAATAGATTAGAAAACTCATTTAACACTTTCGTTAATCAATTGCAAATAATTGATATCGATGAATTAGACACTAGTGATATAGAAGAGGGATTTTAAGATTAATTAGTTTCATATACTAGAAGTGATTTAAATCTTTTGTTATTAGAAAGGAATTAAGTTATTCATTATTTAAGTTATGATTAGAATTCTAAACTATTTAATTATTCAAAATTTAATTTATCAATTTATAGTAATACTAAATAGCATTAACAATTGTTAAATGATAGAGATGCCTATTTTTATGTCAATAACGAATAATTTAGTAAGTTCATTATTTAAAATGACTCATTATATTAATTTGAAATTTTAAATTGGACCTAATAAACTGATTAATTTAAAGTTTTAGTACAAAATAATTATGTATATCTTATTAATGGATAATAATTCTTAACAATATATTAAATAGTTGAACACACTTTAGTATTAATTAAGAAATTATAAGCAGAAGTATGATTTTTATTAAAAAAAAAGGATATTTATTAAGTATAAAAGAAGATGAATTTGGTTGATATTAATATCTAAGAAGAATATCTATATATTCTTGATCATGAAAATGGAGTAAAGAGAATCCATTTAAATGAATTAGAAATAGATAATGATTTCTTTATTAAATAACCTGATTGTTCAATAATTTCTATCGAAAAAGAGTCTATTATTTTAATATAGCACAACTAATAAAGATCTATAATATTTGAAGGAATAATCAATGATAAAGGTTGGATTCTATTATAAAGTAAATAAACATTTAAGAAATTAATAAAAAGTGTTAAATAATTGAAAGATTATGCAATATTATTGAGTAATCCAATCAATAATATTCATCGAAAATACATGATAGACTCTTATGCAGATAAGACAATGTTAGAAGGGTATTAATTATTATAATAAATAAGCAATGATTTTTATTAAATGGATTTTCTAGGAATAGAAAGTATAGATACTAATTATTTAATTGGAATCTTTAAATATGGAGTGGCTTTATATTATTAAATGGAATTTCCAAGCTCAATTGTCTGCTATGCCCAAACTCCTTAGATAAGCAGAGTGCAGGTATAATTTTATTTTTATAATAAGATATCAATAATTAGCACTCAATGTCCAAATAAGAATGAATCAAATTTATTAAATTATTGTTCATCAAATCTTGAATATATATTTGATATTCGTGGAGCTTTAATGAATGAATTCTAAGAAAGAATATTTATTTATTTATGTATAGGAGCTAGTGTTATTGTTACACTTTTGGTGGTTTCAATTATTTATATAATAAGAAGATATCAATTAAAAAAAGAAAAAATAAACTAAATAAAAAGAAAAGGAAGAAGGTCTAAATGATATTATTAATTATATAAAGAAAATTGACTCATTTCTATATGTATAATTAAATTACAGTAATTAGAATAAATCTAACTAATTTTTGTTGTAATTTTTCTCTTTTTCATATATAAATTTATATTTCAAAATGAATTAATATGATTAAATACTCCTTGGATATTCAAACTGAACTAATAGATAGTTTTTAAATTTAAAAAAAATGATTTTTAATAATCCAAAAGATGCTCCTTATTTTTCCAGCCCCTTTTTCTTAATCTGCAAATCTATATAAAAACATCTTATAAAATAGTGAGCTCTATATCTAATAGATTATATATCAACAAACTCAAAACCTATCTAATTTAATAATGAGGTCTATAATTTGTAAAAATTCTTTATTTCCAGCTTTAGATTCCTAAACATTGAGCCAGGTGAAATATTTTTAAAGAAAATTTAATAATTTGCTCTTCCTTAAACTTATATGCTAGAATATTAATGGCCTAACATTACTTTCCATTTGATCCCAATATTAACCAAACATAATCAACAAAAGACTATTCTATGTTAATTTAAAATAGGTATTTTGATAGTTGTTTCTTTATAAATCAAAGAATAATATAGTTCATGAATCCAATTATAAAACAGTTATAAACATTGTTGAAATAATAGGTAAATTATCTAAAGAGTTATGTAAAAAAAATAATTCAAAATTGAATAGTTGAATAATAAGTCGAAATAT